CCCTGTCAAACTTTTCTGCTTATTATTTGCAGATGATGTAATTTGTGATACGGTGATCGGGTTTTTAAAGCTGATGGTCACTTGTCAGAAATTGGGTTTTACCTATTTTGTATTTCCTCGGTATATAATTTGCTCATGAACGAATCAGAACCTGTAGGCATATTTAGATACATACTTAGTTAGTTGACCCGTTTGCATACAATTTGCATTAATATAAAATTGTACAGACCCCTGTATACTAAATACAAGTGGGAGATGATCAAACTCTGTATGGGTCATAATAATTAAATCAGCGATATCAGTAAATAAAGGTGTCGACAAAAGAACATAGTCAACAAGGCTTGCCCCGTTACTTGAGATACATGTTAAGTCACCAACACCTGCATCGCTGCCTACTCTATCATTCAAGATATGCAAATGGTGTGAGAACAAAGAGACAACAAAGTACAAAGTAACAAAGTACGACTGGTCTTAAATTACTATGCGTATACTCGGGGAATGACAGGAACTATACAGACAAAAAATGGGTTGAGTTGGTTCAAAAAGTAGAAAACAAAATTGAATTGTGGTCGCACTTTGCTTCCGGAATGTCGTATAGAGGGCGCACACTTGTTATAAATCACATTATTGCATCTCAGTTGCTGTACCGGCTCAACTCATTGTCTCCACCCACTTGTCACATACAACGTTTACTCGTGACTTTTTTGTGGCAAGGCAGTCATTGGATTCCTGCTGAGAAACTTCATCGCGCACTTGATAAAGGCGGTCAAAATGTTGTTGATATTGCTTCAAGCACCAAAGCCATGCGAGTGAATTACATACAGAGATATCTTTACGACGACAATGATCACCCGTGTTTCAGATTCACAGATTTTTCCTAAGCAAAGTAGGTGTCACACACGAAACGACTTTTTGTTACGAACATTGACTATTCACTCTCAAATGTACCACCATTCTACACTGAGTTATTGCGGTGCTGGAATTGTCTTGACAACATCCGCAGAATTGATTACACTAATTCTGCGCACCTCTTAGAAGAACCGTTATACAACAACCCCCACACACTAAATTACATAAAGCACGACACACATCCCTTTAACCAGTATGTAACCGCTGGTATCACCAAAACAACATTTGTTCAATGAAAACGACAACGTCTGGTTATCTGCGTCTGATTTACACAGTTCCATTAATACCCAATCTATGCGTGCTCTACAACAACACATAAACGAACTTTGTGAAGGTGTACCTGACAAATGGAAACAAACTTAGACGTGCATACAAATAATGGCTGTGATGCTGCGCATGTGAATATACACTACACTCTTGATTTACACTTTTCTGATGACTTGAATCTGCCACTTTATTATAAATCGAGACAGTGTCTATAAATACATAATCAGTGTTAACCATGCGCGTCATGACACGATTGATACCGTATGGCGTGATATTCTTAGCCTCCCACAAGAAATTAAACCGAACTATAAAGACTGTTATGTTCCCCTTATTTCGAAAATGGAGGGGGCATACGATGGTGTATCTTACAAGGTGCATACACAACTGGGAATTTTCTGCCCAATATAAAACAATGCACAAACAATAAATGCCCACTCTGTGGCGATCAGGATTCACTGCAACATATATTTTATGAGTGTCCAAACAATAACAACCTCCTTTATAGAGTTAATTAATTGCCTGTCGTCTCACTAAAACTCAAACGCCCATTCCGCACTTCAGGCTTTCTGCCTCGCAAAGCTGCAAATCTGTTCTTGTACATAATTTCTATTGCAAAACTGGCAATCCATCTAATCCGTAGCAATAAACGACAAAACATGTATGCCACGTAGCCACTAGAATTATTCACAAATCGTGTACACTGCAGGTTAAAAACCGAATTTGAATTTTCCGTTTAACAAATCAACTACACGTGTTTGATCTCACTTGGGCAACGCATAATGTATTGTGTGAAATAAATGACCAAACCCTTTCTGTGCATTTGTAACAGTGTAATTATACAAGAAGCAAGGGTGAATTGTTTGACAAACATGAAGGTATGATCGGATATCTCGATATCCTAAGGCTGGTCGTCTCGTTTCGTTGTTCCAATGCCACGTTACTAGTTCAACGTTAAGCTTTGGGACCCTCCAAATAGGCCAGTCTAAACCAAGCTTTCAGTTATCTAAGTACGCTCGGCCACGTCGTGTCACGGGTGACTGTCAAATCTCAAATAACGTATTGTTTTTTCACACACACCTACTGTCATTTTAAATCATGTCCAATTTGTAAATTTTGTTGTGTGTGTTATTTCTGTTTTGGGGCTAGTAGGGGGATCGTAATTCCATGTGGTGAGAACCATTGAGACTGGCCTATTTGCAGGGTCCCAAAGCTTAATGTTTTACGTTCTTTTGTTTTACGTTATTTGTCCTTGTCAAACTGCTTATTAAAAATCACTACTGATATACTACTATATGTGTTTTTGAAGAAATTTATACTACAGGCAAAAAGTCGAATTATACTTTTAGCTACAAATTGATTAAAAAGTATATTTGTTCACACAGCCCTCTCGTATGTCTCAATCAGGAATGTGACTTCTGTTGCAAAGATGTTCTATATGTCATCATAAAAAAACAAAGTCAGATGAGACGTACGAAACTGTCGCTTGGCACCAACACATGGCAAAATGTAGATTTCAACATTTGATTTAAAATAGTGTACAAACTCGTTATACATTATCTTTATCATCTATATGTATTATTATTAAAGAGTTTGACTGTAGCATCTCAAACTCCAGTGAAATAAACGCTGACTCTTTTATGTATGCTATCTTTATTATGCGAGTTATTACATGATTATGCAGTATATGCACAATTATATCCTTTTCACCACCTGCTCCCTGCTCCCTCTTTCCATGACAAATTCGCAAAATAGCCCTCTCTATGGTCTGCACTTTCATTCTGAGGTTTGGAACAAAAATAGCCAATTTTTTGAGTTAAAACTGAAAATTTACTCAAATTTGTTCAAATTTGTTTGCAGAAAAAAAAATTTGGGCAAGAAAGTGTAGTGGTGAAAAGATAAACCTGGCTTACCCATTCAAATAGAGAAAGAAATGTCATCATATTGACCTCACAATTAAGAGATTACTGAACTAAAAGCTGTATTAATCCTCTGCATTATCTTCAGATAGAACCAGACATAGTTTAGATATCCAATCATTCAATTAACAACTGCAAAGACATTATAAGCAAATAAATATAAGTGACCTGTTTAAGCCTTACATGGATTTACTCCCTATGCACGTGACAATACACTACCACAAACCGAATTGCCATCATATTAAATACACTAAATGTTAGTAAAAAAAGACTTACCTTCCGGAAAGGACCCAACTGTCGGCAAACGATATTATATCATCAGTATATTTCAGTGTTCCATCTAGCATCCTCATTTTAAAATCATTATCAGCATTACCATCGGCATCTCCAAGCAAACCACACAGCTTACCATGTACAGATGGATCAAGTTTTGGTGCAACACGTCCTTTACCATCCCAAAACAATGAAAACTTTGATTCTAAATCAACTTTCACGTGTTCAGTATATTTGTGTATAGTTAGGTCGCCAGATACCAAAGGAAGTGGTTTGTCCAAAAGTTTACCATTCATCTATGAAAATAAATGAGCATGTATGAAACAAATTTAATGAATTTGATATAATATCATGTGTCAGGAATGTCAGGAATACACAATCTAACATTGCAAACAGACACATTTAGAACACGATGTGAAGATAAATTATAGATGACCAATATTAACAACCTAGCCAAAATGGTTGGTCACCATTCCCCGTGTTAAATACTTATAAGAACGTACTCAGGTTTGCAATCTAAAACTAAGATAATATGTAGCTACTAAAGCGGACGTTAATCAATAAAGCAAAAAATCATATTATCCTCATTAACATAGATAAAACAAGAGCAAATAAAGAGATGGAATAGAGGGCTCTCTGTTACTGGCCGCCACAATTATATAATCTGGTATGAAATTGGTATTATGACATGCAAGAAAATCAACAATTATGAAATAATTGAAAAATATTTACTGGTTCTAATTAAAGTACCTGGAAACATGAAGCTTCTACATTAAAAATGGAAATTTAGTTATGAAATCAAAATCCGTATCAAATAGCATTTTAGATTACACTTTGTAAAATGACGTAGAGTGAATGTTATACTTATTCATGGATGCGATTATTAAATCACACAAGTAAAAATGATATCGTAAGAGTGCCCCCAACCCGACATTAAATATGTCGCAATGAAAGATAGTATGTTCCATGAAAAAAGCAACCTCAAAGAGATAAGCTTGAATGGCGATGCTTCACTTGCTGCAAAATCTGAAATCTGGTGTATGTCCTTCCAAAATTTAATGACCCGTAAATTATTGTACTATAACCAATTAAACTTCAAAATGGCATACATGCTTTTATTATAAGCTATTCATGTGACCTCAATAATCATGTACACGCTAATTTCCCGACAATATTATAGACACAGAGATACTACTAACTGTGTATTATGCATGTGAAAAAAAGTTAATACAATGTCACCCGATTATTCGCATAGATTATTTATCGATATACATTTATTTCTAACTGGGTATACAACAGGCTACATCACACAAAAACAAAATGGAAAAAACAAATGAAAACAATAAATAAAAAGCTCTATGTAGATTTTGTATTGGAATGTTCTAAGATCCGTAGAGATTGTTGTTTTTAATGACAGATATACATTACAGACATGTCGATGTATTCAATATAAGCATTGGGGTATTTGGTAACACTTGGCTCATTCAAATTGTTCACCCTCATCTAATAGCAGATTTTTTAAACTAGTGCTCTTCAAATCAAAGGTAAGCAAAAGAAAATGTTGTGTTAACTGAAGATACTAGTTGCATGGAATCTTCCTTTTGTCTTATTCACTTATGTAATCATGGATTGTAAAATTGCCTAAAGAAGATGTATACTCTTCCACTGTGATTATTTCTATGTGAGAACAATATTTTGATCACTGTCAACCTTCCTGTGGTGATATTGAATAACTTGCTTGAGTCTTATTACTATTTACACAACAAACTGAGTTGCATTCAGCTCTTATACAATAGCAGCAGTATCGTGTCTATATTGGTAATAGACAAAAATACTTTTGGCAGCTGAAATAGTGGCCAAACTAGAAACCATGGTTATCTATGGAGAACCATGGAGAATCTACTTTCTGAAACATGCAGTATCTGTCAGGAGATTTCTTTTACTGATTTTAGAACCAAACCTCTGCATTGTTTCCTACGTGGATATTGATGACAAGTGCTAAACGGAACAAACATTTCGTGGTAAATATTGCCCCCGATATGCTTTCTTTTTGAAACACGAGCATGTCAGTTTTTTAGAGCCAAGGGAAATCCATACACAAGTTCATGCAGCCGAGGGATTGGGTAGTTTTCTATTTCAACTTTATTTAAGATATCGATAAATACATTTTCAACAAATAAATACCAATCAATCAATAAAACAATCACTAAGAAAATCTGCATTCACTGCCAACATATTGACATGGTATCTTAGGCAAAGGCTGCAAATATCACCGTCATTTGGTGATCGATCTACATAAACATGGAAATAAGAAAATTAGAAACTGTTTTTTTCACCCCAAAAGATGATGCTTATCATTGAACAAAAATAACTGTTTTGTTACTTTCCAGGACATATTGCATAAGGTGAGGTAATGTTGGATTTCCTATATCAAATTCCTTATTTTTGTAGACTTTAATTCACTTTAAGTAGAATGGTCAAGTGAAGAGATTTTATCTAATTCATATTTATATCACAAATACGCTTTTAATATTAATTAAAATCGTTTGCTGGGAAAATAGTATGTTCCTAGTAATCATACCCATTGCAAAATTGTACAAGCACCAGCCCTATGAAGATGTCATAATGTTGAATGTCTCGAATAAGTGTATTAGTGTTTTTAAGATAACAAGTTGTGATCACAATTTCAGTGTAACACTTTTTACGCATTTTCAATATTTAGAACACTTAAATAAATTGCATATATTTGTAAAAAAAAACCATGTGTTACTTACATATATGTCATTCCCACGTACTAATGTAATTGCCTTTCCATCAGCATGTACAGTAACATGTTCAACATGTATTGATTCGTCCATTTTGTGATGTCCGAGATGTATTACCACAATAAACGACGGATAATGAGAACATTCTTGAAAAAGGATATACGAGCAACCACTCTGGCCTTTGTAGTCAAACTTTCTGCCATCAAATGTGTTAAAGTGGGGATCCAAAAACACAACACCTTGTATAGGTTTGAAGCCAGACACATGTAAAACAGCAGGAGTAGTTTCTATAATACGAAAATGAAGAAAAAAGCGTTATCACGTTTAAAGTCATGTGCATATTCCCGCGTAATATGATCGTGATTTGAACACTTGCCTTTGCAGCATCTGCATTTTGTTGTAAGACATAAAGCATCACTATACGGACCAATAATATGACCAGTATCGCAGCTTGGTCGTATACTCCAGTCTTGACAGTAGCCATGTCGATCCACACAGGGTGTATCTGTTGGGGGAAGTTTATTGACTTAGTATAGACAGTACACTGCTGTATTAAGAGTGTGCGCCCTTTACATGGTAATGTATTGAATTAAACAATCATCAAAGCAGGATTGTTTACTTAAAAACAACATAATCCACATCATCATTCCATAATTTCCCATAATGTTCAATACGACTTTGTATGACTCCTACTTGAAAGTGAATTTAGGAATCATACTCAGCTTCCACAGTTCTTCATGTCACTGAACTTCGTTATTAGTGTTTTACTACCCGATATGTGTTATTATTAATTCTTGACCTAGCTCACTTATATGAGTCATTTGTTTGTTGTTTATCATCTTTTCAATTCCAAAAGTGTCTCTTGGTTAGTACACGCATATCCAGAGACCATATTTAGTATAAATAAATATAAATTACGAGATAAGATAATTAAATAGAACATATGAATATGACATCAATGCGAGAATACAATCTTTCAAAGAAACAATCAGACAATTAAAAACAATCAGCCAGATTAAACAACTTAATGACTTTTATATTGTAGTACTCCTGGTGGCGAATGTATCTTTTATTTTCATGTTAGAACCCACTGAAAGACACCACGGTCAAGAGTCAGTCAAATGGGAGAAACAAAGTCAAAATTTGTGCAGAGATTCTTTAACACAAGCGATCTCAACAAAATTTAACAATTTGAATAAATTAAAAGAAAAACAATAAAATGCATTGAAAATATGTATTGTTATGCTACAGTCAGCAAACATATTGAAATATAGCACATTTATGGAAAACAGTGTTGTAGAAACTTACTAAAGATATTATCACACGTTAAATCATGAGGTCGACGCTTGGTTATCTCTGAAAAAAAAGTAAATAACACAATCATTGTATGTCGTTATGACACTTCTTTATTCCACCATGTTTCATAGTAATTTGTAGATTGTAAGTTGTAAGTTTTGTTTACTGGTATTGCTATTATCAGTCATCCAACGCTAGAGCTAGAAAAGTAAGTACTGAAAATGTTAAACTACCCAACAATATATGTAGTCAATCATCCCAGCCACAAAAGAAATATATTTGGTAATACTTGTTTCATCAGATTTTTGTCCAAATATACAAACTCAAATTTCAGTAGTCGTGTTTGCAATGTGTACACAACGCTAAGCAAGCTTATTTATTACTACTGGTACGTCAAATTGATTCTTTTTTCACCCAAAGCTGTTTTGCTGTTCGCTACATGATTCAAGAATTACCTGACAACTTGATGTAATAAAAACGACAATGAACATAATGATCTGCACATGTGGTCATTAGAAACACACAGGCAAGTGTTTCTTTCCTGTATATATTTGATGTAGCATATGTCAATACATTTTTGTCTCGGAAATCATTCAATAACTTTTTGGACTAAATTTACAAATTAAAATGCATCACGTCCTTTGTAAATACACATAATTACACGTAGAGTCTATGTTATCAGCATTATATCTGTCTGTGGTCTTTGTTTCTCTATTTAGTGTATGTTGCACTTTGAATTAAGTTTTTACTATCATTCAGTAACTATTTAAACAGAATTTTGACTGTGTTTGTTGAATAATAATATACAGCAAAAAACATTTCTCGTCCCACAAAAATTGTACTCTCCACTTTGATTCTGTTAGAACAATCGTAGCCTGAAACAGTAATATCCTAGTACATTTGCTTGGAGAACTAGTAAACATGAACTGTTTGAAACATATACATTGACTACAGAGAGAGACAAAAGTTAGCAAATTGAGAACACTGCATAGCTTTTTTCTTAAATATTATGTCAATCAACAGTGATTATATTGATGTACGTTTATCTTAGTATGTAATGTTTTAATTTGACAAGAGTCTGCTTGAATCGTGGTACAATATAGTGGCGTGTGAAATGTACTTGCAAAAATGATATCTTGAATTTTTTCAGGAATAATTAAAATTCTGGTCATATATATGACGCGATTACCAAAGTTAAACACATTTATCTGACGTTATCAAATCAATAATAATAACATAAGTGCAGAAAAAATAATTATCAATAAACCTGGGATTTTGAGAAAAATAGATTAGACAATAACATAACATTACATGGCCGAACTAAGAACAGTTTACAAATACCTTTTCGTTCAACACAGCATCTGCAAGTGTCATCTCCACACGCTTTTCTTCCCATAGAGTCGTAAACTTCGTAGGTATCATTTGTACACGTTGCAGCACAAACTCCTTCTATAAACACACCTTCACTTGGTTCAACGGTGCAAGTACCATCCACTGAGTACAAAAATATAAAAAAAGTTATGAAAACTGAAATAAATAGCCACATTTTGTGTGCTTGCAATTACAAGCAAAAATAGATACATATTATAACACTAAGCGCAGGATTTAAAGCCCCTCGGCAAAGCAGGCAAACATGTTTGTCATCACTCCACTAGCTATTGTACTAGGAATAATTTCAAATGGAGTGTAATGATGACTGTCTTAAGGAGTCTAGTTCTTAATGTTGAAACAAATATTATTATAACTACACACATATAACCTTATTTATAGATCAATATGAACTTTAACTAGTTAGGCTTCTCATTACAACACACCACTGTTCTTATATGAACTGTTCCAAATTGAGTGAAATGTCATAAAGTGTTAAATACCACTCACTATGAATATAAATCACAGCTGACTGGTGTATTTCCACCATGTGTACTCACCTTTACATGAATAGTCAATTTCTGAAAAGACAACAAAGGTAATTTAGTATTGTTTAAGTTTTCTGATTCATGGCTTCAGTTAGCCCGATACATAATGATTTATAGAAATGTAAATGGTTCTTTTCCAGGCACATGTATATTTGGTTCAATTAACCCAACATCACTTCGAAACTGTATCTTGCTGATAGAGTCGTAATTCCATTTAAGATATATAAAACGGTTGCGAGA